TTTGGTACAGTAGAACCCATTTAATAGTCTTCATCATGTCACTCGATATCTGTATTGATATTAATAGAAAATATTCACTGCTGCAATCAGCAGACTTTTTAAAAGTTTCTCTGTCATCTATTTAACTGGTGATTCCATAGAAGCAGTGTTTATGTCCCAGGGACCACTAAAATTAACGCTAACTGACCTGGTGCCCCAACTCACCACCACTGTTACTGCATTAGAGCACAGTGATGCAAGGACAGTTAATCCTGCAACGCCCACTGCCATTGGAAGAGAGCATAGATAGAACCAGTGAGCAAAATGTGATGTAATACTTTACAGAAGTACTGTTTTAATGTACTTGTACATTAAGAAGTTCTCTATTACCTTCTGCTTCTATTCCACAGCATTCTTATTGTAAATAATGTACTTTGTAGTTCACATCATGTATTTTAAAGCTCCGGTACTACTGATGCTGGCTTAATATAAATAAAGCTACATTTAAGTATATAAGTAAATAAAATAGTTTCCAGTTGCCACATTAATTCGATATACACATTAATAAATCAATAGTGATGTAACGTACATGTGCTCCAACACAATTACTTTTACCTCAGTTACTTTAGCTTATTTGAGTACATTTTAACGCTAAACTATTACTGTGGCTTTTATTTAATAGGCTACTTGTTTTATCGTTTTATAAAACGGTTTTTAATACATAAAGTTGTCTGAGGCCTTATGCACCACTTTTTTTTTTTTTAATAAGACCATCTGTATAAGGACACAAGGCTGCGTATGAGTCAGAAAACCTTGCCCAGTGTTGTCTACAGCGACTTTACTTCATTTCCTTTGCCCCACCACCCAGTGCTGCTTTGTTTTAGGCGCACCCCTATTAAAAAAACCCAAAACTGGAAACGCCTCTGATAAAAAACAGAAAGTTTCACAGGCACAACATTAACCGCAGGGCCCACTATAGAAAGGTGTAGCCTTTGTTGGGTTGGGATGTCCCAGGGATTTCCGCTCTCCTTTCTCGTCACCTGCCGTTTTCAAGGTGGAGCCAACACCTGATGCTGTTTCGTGTTCACTGTTTACATGTGACAAGTTTACTGAAAGCGTGAATGAACCTCTGCTCTGTGCTGCTGTTGACTGCATGTGTGTCTCTGGCGCCTCCAGCAGCAGCGGTGGCGTTGCGCCACTTGAGAGAGAGAGAGAGAGAAACTGCACTGGGTCTTTGTGGATCCAGGATCCATGAATGAATGGACGAGAACCGGTGTCTGAACAGAGAAGGCGGCCGGAGCAGACTGCGGACAATCCAACTTCACCCGAGCGTTGTGTAAAGTTGCGTTAAGAAGAAAATCCATCCACTGAGCTGCAGCTTTAAAGGCCAGGGGACGGTTTTTCCTCGTAATCCCACTCCTGCACCGATCGAGCTTCACCAACAGACGTTGCTCGGTGAACGCTGGGAGGATTTTTTTTTTTCCTTTCACGCGTGCACACAGCAACAGGTCATTTAGAGCACAGTCCAAGCTGCAGCTGTGCTTCACTAGTCGTTAGACCAGCGTTAACTTTAGTTCGTGTGCACCGAGGGATGCTTTTTGTCACTCTTTTCCGCGCATTCGCCGTGATATGAACAGCATTGTGCTCGCCGCCGAGCAGATCCTCCAGTGTGAGCGCACTGCGTTTTAGAGGAGGTCGACCGTGGGAATGAGAGGAAAATGAAAATGTGCTAATTAAACATTTTTCTGGCTGATCAGCGCTGAGCCTTCCACACCGACACACGGACCTGCGAAGAGCTGGAGTTGGTGCGGGGAGAGGATTTCGAGAAGGATTGTATGTTTAGATGGTGCCAAACAAGTGGACCATGAATTCAGTTCTGCACAAATCGCCACCAAGGAGCTGGCTTGGTCTCAGATTACGCCTGAGTAAGTAAAAATTCATGAAGTCAGCTACTGACTGATCACCATCTTAATATTCGAGCGGCTGCTCAGTCTGCAGCTGGATAATGTTGGATAAGCATGCTTATTTGTGTGATTCACTGTGAGTTTGTCTTTAAGAAGTCACAAAGGAAGGGGAAGAGAGGAGCTCTCGTGGCTTTGATCGTCAGGCAGCAGTTCTTTGTGTCATGTTTTCCTCCAGTCATCAAAGTTAATGGCTGGATTTGGCAAGTGACCTGAGCAATTATCCCAGCTGGAGGCAGGAATATTTTAGTCAGACAGGACAGTACACTCTGATCTTAAGTTATGCACCTGATAAAGGATCTTGGGACAACTCAGTATACACTCAGATGATGGATATTACCTCTTGTAAATCTCCAGACAGTACAATTTACAGCAGTTCTTTTTTTCATGCCCTCCTCCACTCTTTCCCGCTCATAATTTAGACTTTCAACAACCTTTCTAGCAGTATGAGTTTATCTAACTGTTTCTCACACTCAGGTAAACTGCAAATTAGTTTCTCGTTGAGCTTTTATTGATGGAAACCTAATAAAATGAATACTTGACTCTTCTAGCTTTGAAGACTTATCAGATTGATGTCCTTGGAGTTTAGCTCCCTCTCGCTCTCCTTTATAGACTTTACATGTTCATGTACACTGTTTGCAGTTCATGGGTTCATGCAGTAAGTGAAGTATGCATGGAGTTAAAGTTTAGCAGCCTTAATTGGTTGAGTCTGGAACCCTTCAGTGTTCCAGGCCACCGGAGTCTTAAGTCTGTCTTAAACACACTGGTCTAATCTGGGGCCAGATGTCTAGTCTGGTCTCTGTCGTCCACAACAAAACAAAAACTGAAGAAATATCTCTGCTGTGTGCACTTATTCACTGCTGGGATGTCAA